GTTTTATTTTCTGGTCCTGGGGCTTGAACTAAGGGCCTGGGCACTGTGCCTGAGCCTGTTTGTGCTCAGGGCTAGTGCTCTACCACTTCAGCTACAGCGTCACTTCTGGCTTTTTCTGAGTAGTTTATTGGAAATAAGAGTCTCACAGACTTTTTGCCCAGTCTGACTTCAAACCATGATCCTTAGATCTCAGCCTCTTGAGTTGCTAGGATTACAGGTGTGAGCTACCAGCACTGGGTGTAGCTTGGCTTTTTTACTGAAGGTTAGCACTCTTTCACTTGAACCACACCCTACTTGCTATTAAGAGAATATTTCCTGTGTGTGTCTGTGTGTGTGTGTGTGTGTGTGTGTGTGTGTGTGTGTGTGTGTGTCTGCTAGTCCTAGGGCTTGAACTCAGGGTTTGGATATTGTTCCTGAGATTTTTAGCCTGAGGCTAGTGCTCTACCATTTGAGCCCCAGCTCCACTTTTAGCTTTTTGCTGGTTAATAAGAGTCTCATAAACTTTCCTGCCCAGGCTGGTTTCAAACCTTGATCCTCATATCTCAGCCTCCTGAGGAGCTAGGGTTACAGGTATAAGCCACTGACACTTGACTAAAAGAATATTCTCTAAATCTTAGGGAAATCTGAGAAACATTTTTTGTCAGTAGTTAATATTAATATGGAGGTAGCAAAGCATTTAAATAATAGAATATCACTTACGCCACCCAATTTTCACTTTGTGTGCATGAATCTTTCCTTTTACGTATGGCTGTGTTGGAGCTCCAGGCTTGTCTGGACAGGTAGTATATTTTACTTCATTACTGGGATTATTTCGTCCTTCCGTATTATAGGAAAAAATCTGTTTGAATGAAACAAGATACTTCACTGTTGTTTTGATTTGCTTTGCTTTGCTTTTGTTTCAGCTATCCATTTTCATACTCTTTATGTTCACTTATCTTCTTCCTATAGATACAACCTGAAATTTTTCTTAATTTCAGCCACTTAAAACCATACTATTAAGAGTTTGACTTGATGAAATTTTGTTTTATTATGAAACTGCCTGGCTGTGTGCTCAAACAAAGTAATAATCTCTAACAAAGTATATGTTTTCTAGGCTGTAAATGTCATTGGAGTGGGACAGTTTGGAGAAACTGCTACTATAACCACACCAGCAACTGTACCCTCAATAGTACAAAATTTACAAGAAGTTCCAGAAAAAGTTCCTGAAAACTTAGCATCATCTTGCCTTGCTATTAAGTGGGAGGAACCAATATGTAATGGTTCTCCAGTAACTGGGTACAATATTGAATATGGAGATAGGAGAATTATGACTATTGACACTGTAACAGAGTATATTCTGAAAAATCTACAACCAGACACCATGTATAAGTAAGTCCCTTAAATTTTACTTTTGAGAAATTTGAGCTATATAGTCATATATTTTATTTAATCTACATAGTATTCCTTTTTAAAGGAGTTTACTGGATAGGAAAGTGTGGAATTGCTAAGAACCTTTTTCCTATCAATATTTGTCAATAGCAATGGGGAACAGACTTTTCTTTCAAAAATTTATCTGTAATATTTAGTATAATATGATAGATAAGGTGCTCTATAAAGTTACTAGGGATTTAATTTATATGTAGAATAATGTATTTTAATTTTTCTTTTTGCCACTAGAATTCGAATTCAAGCTATCAATCATTATGGACTCAGCCCTTTTAGTCAGCCAATAAGAAGCAAGACCAAACCGCTTCTACTTAACCCTCCACCCCTCGAATGTGCAATTTTGGGGCACCAGAGCCTCAAACTTAAATGGGGCAACAATTCAAACAGAAGAATACTTTCCAGCCTTATAAGCTATAATTTGTTCATGAAAGATCGATCTGACAGGTAAACTATTTTTACTTTTTAGCATGTATTATAATAAAATGATTTAAGATTTTATATCTTTTTTTGTTGGTTTTTTTCATTTTTATTGACCATGATGGGGCTTCAAAATCAGGGCCTGGTCACTGTCTCATAGTTTTTTTGCTCAAGGCTAGCACTCTACCACTTGAGTCACAACTCCACATCTGGTTTTTGTTTGTTTTGTTTTGTTTTTGTCCATCGTGGGGCCTGAACTCGGCCTGGGCACTGTCCCTCAGTTTTTGAGCTCAAGGCTAGCACTCTACCACTAGAGCCACAGAACTACTTCCAGCTTTTTCTGCTTATGTGGTGCTGAGGAATCGAACCCAGGCCTCATGCATGCAAGGCAAGCACTCTACCACTGAGCCACCTTCCCAGCTCTTGTTTGTTTTTGCTTGTTTATTTTTTTAGTTTTTGGGTGGTTAATTGGAGGTAAAAGTCTCATGAACTTTCCTTCCTGGACTGGCTTTGAACCACAATCCTCAGATCTTGTCCTCCTGCATATCTAGGATTACCAGTGTGAGCCACCTTCACCCAGCCAAGATTTTACGTCTTAATCCTATACTCCAAAGTAGTTTCAATGAATTAATTACACGTGAAAGCAACCCAAAGACAATAGCATAGTATAGCTGTAACTGTTTATTGTCTCTTCCAATGCACTTTTTTATCTAGCACAGTTCATCAGAAAATAGAGGTTATGGTGGGTGAACCAGAACCTTACCATTATATTATCTATCCCCTGGCTATTTTTGGTTTTGTCTCTTACCTTTCTGGCTTTAAGTTGACTTCTTTAGTCAGCTAAAGTGATTTTAGTGAAGTTTTAAAATAAGCTTTTAGTTAGTTATATAAAATGCTATTTGTATAGGCTGGGGATGTGGTTTAGTGGTAGAGTGCTTGCTTAGCATGCATAAAGCCCTGGGTTTGATTCCCCAGTACCACATAAACAGAAAAAGCCTGAAGTGGCACTGTGGCTCAAGTGGTAGAGTGCTAGTCTTGAGCAAAAGAAGCTCAGAGACAGTGCCCAGGACTGGCAAAACAAAAACAAAAAAAATGCTATTTGTACATATATCATTTTTGATTGGTAATATTGTTTTCCTCATCTCTATTCCCTCCCCTAGATTTTCTGTCATTTACCATGGGCCTTGTCAGACTCACCGAGTACAGAGACTAACTGAATGTACTGAATATTCATTTAAAATCCAGGCATGTAATGAAGCTGGTGAAGGACCAGAATCTGATATCTATGTTTTTACTACCAAAAAAACCCCACCAGCTGCACTTCAAGGTGAGTAGTGTGAGCCATAATATTGGTATTACTTTGAGTCCCAGTAGCTCATACAAAAAAAAAAAGCAGGAGAATTTTAAAAATAAGTTGGGAGCCAGGCACTAATAGCTCATATCTGTAATCCTAGCTACTTAGGATGTTGAGATCTGAGGATCACAGTTCAAAGCTACACCAGGCAAGAAAGTTAGTGAGACTCCAACAACAAAAAAAAGCCAAAATTGGGGATATAGCTCAGTGGTAGAGCATTAGCCTTGAGCAAAGAAAGCTCAGGGACAGCTTCTAGGCCCTGAGCTCAAACCCCAGAACCAACAGACACAAAAAATAGTTTGTGGTAGTATATTCCTGTTATATCAGCTACTCAGGAGGCAGAGGCTCAAGGCCAGCTCAGGCTAGTGAGACCATTATCTCAGAAACAAAACATGAACTAAAGGATTGGGGCTCTAGCTCAAATAGGAGAGTACTGGCCTAACAAATGCTAAGCCCTGAGTTAAACCCTAGAACTACAAAAACAATAAATAATGTAATACCAAAAGAGGTAAGAATTATAGATTCAAATTTCAACTTAAGATCTTTTGAGACTCTTATAATCAATATTTTTAAATATCTTGGAAATCACCCAATTCAGCCAACCACTCTACCATCAATACCATTTTAATAGTAAGAAATGAAGACTTCTAGGGGCTAGGAATGTGGCTTAGTGGTAGAGTGCTTGCCTGGCATACATGAAGCCCTGGGTTCGATTCCTCAGTACCACATAAACAGAAAAAGCCAGAAGTGGTGCAGTGGTTCAAGTGGTTGAGTAATACCCCTGAGCAAAAGAAGCTCAGGGATCTTGTCTAAGCCCTGAGTTTAAGCTCCACGACTGGCTAAAAAAATTGAGATTTCTAGATGGCAATTAACTTAGTGACAGGACCTTCTAAGTCAGTTGCTACAGCCACAATCAGAATTGCAGACTACTGATTCCCCTAAAAGTGCTTCTTGTACTTTCTAATAGTTATATATGCCCTGCTATCTGTCTCATTTTATTTTTCTTTTTTTTTGGGGGGGGGTCCAGTCGTGGGGCCTGAACTCTGGGCCTGGGCGCTGTCCCTCAGCTCTTCAGCTCAAGGCTAGCACTCTACCACTTGAGCCACAGTGCCACCTCCGGCTTTTTTTCTTTTTGCTTATGTGGTGCTGGGGAATCAAACCCAGGACCTCAAGGCATGCAAGGCAAGCGCTCTACCACTGAGCCACCTTCCCAGCCCTCTCATTTTATTTTTCAAAAGATTTATCATATAAATCAATTTGTAGACAATTTATCATAGTTAAAGCTAAACATATATATATATATATATATATATATATAGGAAGTTTATTTCTGAAGCTCTGAGTTTACTCTCCTTATTTTGAACAGTAACATAAAATACATTTGAGCACCAGTGGCTCAACACCTGTAATCCTAGCTATTCAGGAGACTGCAATCTGAGGATCATGTTTTGAAGCCAGCCCAAGAAGGACAGTCCATGAGACTCTGATCACCAATTAACCACAAAAAAGCCAGAAGTGAAGTTGTGGCTCAAATGGTAGAGTGTTAACCTTAAGCACAAAAGCTCAGGGACATTGCCAGACCCTGAGTTCAAGCCCCAGGACAGGCACAAAAAAATATTGAGGAAAAATGGCATCTTCTAAAGTGACATTCTCTTTTTCTAGCTCCGAGAATACATCGACTAAAATTCAATGCTTGTGAGATAAAATGGGGGTCTTTGGAGCCAATCAATGGAGACCCTATTGTTTACAACCTTCAAGTTATTACCGATAAAGGAACTGAACAGGTATATTCTTCCTTAGTCTTTAATTTTTTCTAATTGGCACTGGTGGCTCACACCTATAGTCCTAACTACTCACACCAGGCTGAGATCTGAGGATTGTGGTTTGAAGCTATCCATGTTAGAAAAGCCCCCATGAGACTCCATTAAATTACTCAGAAAAGCAAGAAGTGGTGCTATGGCTCACAAAAAGGTTCAGGGAACAGCACACAGGCCCTGAGTTCAAGCTCCAGGACCAGCCAAATTATAACAGTAATAATAATAACAAAAATAAAAAATAAAATATACTCAGCATCTAACTCTCTTTTTTTCCCTTTTAGCTATACAAAGGACCAAATACTTCATTCAGTTATTCAAATTTCATCACAAATACAAATTATCGGTTCAAAGTCTGTGCCGGGCGTCAATATAAAACTTCTGCTGGCAAACAAGAGCTCTGGGGACCATTCAGCCCTACCTCTGTTTTCTTAACACATAGAAACAGTAAAGGAGGAAGAGGGAATGACCGCAGAGATGATAGGCTCCGGATAGAGCTAAGTGATGAATCATTTATTTTTATCCTTGTGATAGTATTTGCTGCTTTGGCCCTTTTGTCTGCAGCTTCCATTCAAAAGTTCTTGATAAGCTAAATTTATTTCTCTACATTCTGTCCATTATAGAAAGATCAAAAAATTATATTCAATGGACAAATTGTTTGAAAAACCTCAGCAATTACTTAAAAGAAACATTAATTTGGCCGAAACTCTAAATTTTTTTACCAAACATTTAATATTTGAAAAATTCATGTGACAGAAGAGAATTTTTTGAGGAAATAGGTATCTTTTACATTTCATGAAGTTAGAAAAAGAACACTCTACCACACTTCTCATGGACACTATTTCCTGATTTTTTCAATTCCAAACCTCAAGAATTCTGAGAAGACAACGATATTTTGAACATTTTTATTTTAAAAAACAAAATGGAAAAATCTATTAGACATGTCTACTTACACTTATATGAGATAATAAAAATACAAACCAATATCCTGCACTGTAATTTTTTCTAAATAGTGTATACAGCCATTGCTCTGTGTTGTAATTATTACTTTGATGGTGGGGAATTTTTAATTTTAGAATTTCAGTGTAATAGGAAATAGAGAAAATAGAAATAAGGGGTGGGCAGTCATTTGCTATAATTTTAAACTAAAATGCTTTCTTTGTTGGTTACCCCTGGAATCAGAATTATCACATATGTAATGACTAGTGTTTACAAGACATATAAAAATTCTTTTCTCAAAAAGCAGGGTGCGGGGCTGGGAAGGTGGCTCAGTGGTAGAGCGCTTGCCTTGCATGCTCAAGGCCCTGGGTTCGATTCCTCAGCACCACATAAGCAAAAAGAAAAAAGCCGGAAGTGGCACTGTGGCTCAAGTGGTAGAGTGCTAGCCTTGAGCAAAAGAAGCTCAGGGACAGTGCCCAGGCCCTGAGTTCAAGCCCCAGGACTGGCAAACACACACACACACACACACACACACACAAACACACACACAGCCACAGCCACAGGTTCTTTCTCATATGGAAGCTAAGGGTGGGAAGGGGAGAGAAGATAATGTTGAATATCTGAAATCCTACTTAGGAAGCTGAGATCCAAGGATTAAGTTTCCAAGAAAGCCCAGGAAGGAAAGTCCCTGAAACTCCTATCTCCAATTAACCATCAAAAAGCCAGAAATGGATGTGTAGCTCAAGTAGTAAAGCCCCAGCCTTGAGTGAAAAAGCCAAGAAAAAACACAAGGCCCTGAGTTCAAGTCCTACTACAGGAACTCACATTCATGCACACACATACACACACACACAGAAACGTGAGAATGTGTGTGTGTGTGTGTGTGTGTGTGTGTGTGTGTGTGTGTGTGTGTGTGTGTGTCTTAGAACTCAATGCCAAACTGGGAAAACCTAATCGTGAGCAGATCTTAATGGTCCCTGTTCCCCAGGCCAATGCCTGGATAAGGCCTCTGTACATATATTAGCACCAAGTTGACACCTATGGGTCTGTCCAATTGAACTTACTAATGGGCATCACAAGTCATACTACAGTGACCATTGGGCCACAAATCCATGTCAGCAGCAAGTAGTCTGTGATAGTGTGAGCCTTGGCATTACACATGTAGTACACTGATCTTGATAAGTTCATTCAAGGTGTGATCAAGTCTTGCAGCGTCCTTGGCCATAGGATTTCCCAATTCCATTCCTCCCCCTGAATCAGCAACAAGAATGGAAACAATAACTGTCTACTTGAGGGAAGAAAAAGGAGAGGTCAAGTTACAGCACAGGCACCTGGGGCTGATTCCTGCATGAGATACTCAGAGCCAGGCAGAATTCAGCAATGACTGAGCCTGTGGCTATGAGACAAAGCATCAAGATCAGTAAGAGCTCCAAATGGCTTGCGAGGAAGACACATCCTCAGTTCATTCTGCAGATTTGGGACAAATCTTGGCTCAAACAGAGTCTTCATAAAGGAAAGAATGGCAGCTATTACTTTAGAGAGTTTTTTTTTATTGTGAAAATACCGTACAGAGGGGTTACAATTACATGGGCAAAGTATTGAGTACATTTCTTATCAAGCATTGTTGCCTCCTCCTTTGTTTCCCCAGTCCCATCCCTTCCCAACTCTCACCCTCCCACCCCCCTTCCCACCGCCAAAGTCGTAAAGTTCGTTTGCGACATAACGACTTGTACATCTCATTGTTGCAATGGGTCCACCTGTATCCCTATTTAAACGATTTGTTTTTGCCCTTCCTCTCCACACATTATACCAACATCAAATGAAACGTGCACACACACACACATATACACACACCCCGAAAGCTTCACTTTTTAAAAAAAGTTAAAAAAAAAAAATCTAGACTCAGAGTGCCCTCTGTTGGTGAAATATCAGGAATGTCCACAGATTCCGAGAAAATAAGCAGAGTTCTTAGAATTTCTGAAGAGACATGCACGAAATCAGATTATGAACACTGAAAAAATTACCTCCTACTTCAATGAACAGGAACTTGGACACCAACAAGCAAAAATTATGACCTCACTGAACCAACAAAGTCTCTAGAAATTGACTGTAGCAACTGATAACTCAGGTCTCAAAAAAGTAACAGTTGGGTTTGTTTAGAAAGAAAAGGGCTTTCAGATGATATTGGTCCTAGGACAGCATCATTAAAATTTTATAGGAAGAATAAATTCAAGATTTTTTTCTTTTCTTTGTTTTGGTTCTGGTACTGGGGCTTGAACTCAGGGACTGGGCACTGAGTGTATATAATCCAAGAGCCTCTCATCTCCAATTAAGCACCAAAAAGCCAGAAGTGGAGGCATGCCTCAAATGACAGAGCTCCATCTTTGAGCAAAAAGAGCACAGGGACAGTACCTGTGCCCTGAGTTCAAGTTCCAGGATTAACACAAATAATGAAGTGAAAAAAATTAAAAATAAAAGAAGTAGATATATGGCACAAATGATAAAGTGCCAGCCTTGAACAAAATAGCCAAGCAATGGGCTGGGAAGGTGGCTCAGTGGTAGAGCGCTTGCCTTGCAAGCATGAGGCCCTGGGTTCGATTCCTCAGCACCACATAAGCAAAATGAAAAAAGCCAGAAGGGGCACTGTGGCTCAAGTGGTAGAGCGCTAGCCTTGAGCTGAAGAGCTGAGGGACAGCGCCCAGGCCCAGAGTTCGGGCCCCACGACCAGACCAAAACAAAAAACAAAAAAAAATAGCCAAGCAAGAGAGTGGAGCCCTGAGTTCAAGCCCCAGTACTGGCACAAAAATTAATTAAAATAATAATTTTTTTGCAAGTCCTGGGGCCTGAATTCTGGGCCTGGGTGCTATCCCTCAGCTCTTCAGCTCAAGGCTAGTGCTCTACCACTTGAGCCACAGTGCCACTTACAGCTTTTTATGCTTATGTGGTGCTGAAGAATCAAACTCAGGGTTTCATGCATGCAAGGCAAGCACCCTACCACTGAGCCACCTTCCCAGCCCCAAATAATAATAATTTTTAAAAGAATGAACAGAAAAAAATTAGCCTAAATAATGAACAAGCATTTCACTCAAAAGAAACCCATAAATCCAATAAACATTTAAGGATATACACCACAAGATCTATTATATATTACTTATATATCTTACACATATACCATCTTAAGGTATATACATATATATATATATATATGGGTGTATGCACATATGTATGTATGTATATGTACACATATTTATGTGTGTTTAACCTATGAGCCCACAATTCTACTTTTGGATATATGCCTGGAATACCTCCTACACATGTACACAGGAGACACACAAAAGGGTTCACAATTGCACTATTTAAAATAGTAAAAATCTGGAAACATTACAAATGCCTACCAGGTGGAGTGTAGACAAGTAAATTCGGGTATATTCCAACAGTGAAATATTGCGCAGCAATTAAAATAAGACTTTTTACTAATATGTCATGACAGAGATAACTTAGACATATGGCATTGCTTTTTTTTAATTTAATTTTATTTTATTTGTGAACATACTGTACAGAGGGGTTACAATTACATGGGCAGGATAATGCGTACATTTCTTACCAAGCATTGCAGCCTCCTCCTTTGGTTTGCCCTTCACATCCCTTCCCAGCCCCCCCCCCCCCCCCAATCCCAATCCTTCCTCCTTCCCCCCTTCCCCCCCCCCCCCGCACCGACCTTGTAAAGCTCGTTTTGGACATGACAACTTGTACTTCTCATTGTTGCAACAGGTCCACCTGTATCCTTAAACAACTGGTTTTTCCCCATCTCCTCCACAAGTTATACTGACATCAAATATAGTGAAAGCAGGGGTTATACTGTGGGGGAGGGACATACAAAGCAACAAAGAGATAATCTAAGAAAAAAACATTAAAATACATATCTAAGGGTTCATTTTCCTGACATCACATTATCTGACCTTTTCCGCTTGACTCATACATATACTAGATATTTATGGCATTGCTTTTTAAGCAGCTAACAATTGAGATAAAATGTACTTTTTAGACATATATGTAGTTAAAATAACAAAAGATAGTAAAGAAATCATTAACAATGTCAGGAAGATTGCTTTAGGAGGAGGGAGAAGAGGGTGATTTTCAAGGAATTAGATGGCCGTGGTGTTATTTTTTTAAGTCCAAAATTTAATTAATAAGGTCATGTATAGCGTTGGCCATAAGCCAAAAATTATGATTAATATAATTCTGGACAATTTTGCTTCTAAAGAAGAAAAATAAAAACGTGATGTATAATCTGCATAGTATGCATCAAATTGTTAAGAAATACATATATTCTCTCGGAAATTATTTGGAGGAATAGCCATTTCATAATTTTTGTAACAATTTAAGTGGTTTTGGCTTGCCTGTATTTGTGTGTGTGCATGTGCACTTGAGCTTTTTCAATCAAGGTTAGGACTCTACCATTTGAACCACAGCTCCACTTCCAGGGTTTTGCTGCTTACAGATTAAGAGTTTCAAAAACTTTACTGCCTGGGCTGGGTTTAAACCATGATCTTCAGATTTCAGTCTCCTTACTAACTAGATTTTATAGGCATGAGCCACTGCCACTAGGCTTATATTTTTTTTAATTTTCTATTTATTTATTTTTATTGTGAGA